TTAGTAACAGTTTAATATATTCATTTTTAGATTTTTCCCGAGCAACCCAAATGAATTGTTCCCTAAATACATCAATTAAAAAACTAAAATTAGTTGACATGTTTTCCCAAATGTTTTCCATTTTTAAGCAATTATCAACTGGATCTAAATTCACCAAAGATAAGGCAAGGGCAAAATGAAGCGATCTATAAAGTTAGATTCTGGCAAAGAAGAAAAATCCAATCCCTGATCATTATTTATCTTCAGATTTAAACTACCCATAACTGTATCCTTTGGAAATGACATTCCCACCTTACCCCACCCCCATCCCATAGTTCATTAGCTGGATAGGTCTTGTAACAAACCCCTCCTTCCCCACCCCCGCCTCAGAATCCCTGGGTGGTAGCCATGCTGTTGATAATTACACACCACAATAGCACTGAGACTGTTTCAGGAGCTGCTTAGTGGTCTTGCCCAGGCTGACTGCTTACCACACACCCACAGACCCTCTATTGTGCTGGCTGCGCCTGATGGAAGGCCTGGTTACTAGGCTGGGGAAGTGAAGAGCTGCACTGAGGGAAAAGACAAACCCTGCAAACAGATCAAGAGCCCTAGGTTCAAGAGGAATTCCTTCAATGGGTGAAAGAGGAATGAACCCAAGACAATGAGAGTGGATTAGCAAGAAAATGAATCCCCAAAAGGACACAGCCTTGCTATTATCTAAGCCCAATCAGTCAAAATAGGTTCACCAACAGAGTGCCAAATAGATGGCAGTTTGAAAAGTGCAATATACAGGGACCAAGGCGTCACAGGCATCCGTATAGGCACCGGTTCAAGTCCTCACTTCTCCACTTCTTACCCAACTTGCTGCTAATGGTCTGGGAAAGCAGCAGAGGATGGCCCAAGACCTTGGACACCTGGAAACATGTGGAAGATCAGAAAAAGCACCTGACTCCTGATCAGCTCAGCTGTCCTTGTTGTGGTCATTTGGGGAGCAGACCAGCAGATGGAAGATACGTCTCTCTGTCTCTCCTTCCCTCTAACTCTTTCAAGTAAAAATAAATAAAAAATTACAACATACAAATATGGGATCAATTTGCATTCCATTTGGTTAAGAGAAAGTGCACTGGATACTGAATTCTTTTAGATTTCCAAGAATATCATGCATACATGATCACACTTTCCAAGGTAGGTTTATTGAATTTTTTGAGATTTATTTACTTTTATTGGAAAGGCAGATATACAGAGAAGAAAGAAAGAGAGGAAGATCTTCAGCCTGTTGATCCATTCCCCAAGCGGCCGCAATAGCCAGAGCCAATCTGAAGCCAGGAGCCCAGAGCTTCCTTGGGTCTCCCATGTGGGTTGCAGGGTCCTAAGGCTTTGGGCTATCCTTGACTGCTTTCCCAGGCCACAAGCAGGGAGCTGGATGGGAAGTGAGGCTGCTGGGATTAGAACCGGTGCCCTTATGGGATCCCAAGACTTTAGCCACTAGGCTACTGTGCCAGGGCCTATTTATTGAATTTATACAGGCAAAAGTTTAGGCTGAAAAGCTTTCCATTTTCAGGTTGCAAAAATAGAAATCAAATTCCCGGAACAATTTCCAAGGTGTCAAATAATAATTTTACCATACTCCTACTCAGGATTGAATTGAAGTCAGATATAGTTATCATATTTACTTGCTTCTGCCTGGAATGCATTAACCTGACTTGCTAGGTTGATTATCTCATCTGAACAGATACTTGTATTGGCAGTGAGATACATCATTAGTAATAGGAAGAAGCGTGATTACCTGAAAGGCTAGTGGGTTTTGTAGACAAAAGAGATTTTTCAAAACAGTGTTTTATTTTGAAAACCCATTGGGAAAGAAGAAAAATAAAGATTTATTTCTCATCCATGCAATTACCTCTCACAACTGACAGGTGAGTGAAGTTGCAAGGGTACCTGGGGCCTTAGTCCCCCCCCCCCCAAAAAAAAATCATTCCTAAGATTTCTTGTAAAAAATCCATTTTGAGAAATTTTATTCTCTTCCGTAATAGGTGTCTTAAGTTTTTTAAATAACAGGCATTCAGCAAGATTGGAGTGTAAAGTTTGATACTCTAAGGAAGTTACATTCATTCTGTAGTTTCACAGGTGCCCACTGCACTGCACTCCACCCACCATCACCACCCCACGCCCTCGGAGTTTGAAATCCCAAGGATCTAAAGAAACTGGGAAAGCTAATCTGACTCTACAAGTCGATGATGCGCCCTTGTTAGTCTGTGAAGAGAAAATGTTTTACCTTGGAGAGAGAAAATGCGAATCGCATCAAGTTGCAAGCCTAAGAGCCAAGGGAAAGCACAGAATCAAGCGGGTTGTGTGGAAGGAGCCAAGCACAGTGCAAGAGAAGCTGTCCATCTGAAATGCCACCTGGAATTCACACCCATAATAACGGTTGTGGATATAAAAATTAATAGGAGGGATTTCATAGTATTAGAAAAATTTATTTTTATAAATCATGTGTCTATCGCCCAAGTGTTGACGCATGCATGCAATTCAAACATCGGGCTTACAATAAAAGGCCCACTGAATCACTTAACAAGGACAATTCCCCCATTTTCTCTATAATTTGGCGTAGAAGAAGGAGGGGGGCAGTGGGTAGAGGGTGTAGTTACTAGGTCAATTAATCAACCTGAAAACTGTGACACAAACTCTGACGCCTAACCTATGTCTAAAAATACACAAATATATACGAATTTGTTTTAAACTGTCAATGCCTATATTTAGGACCTTCCCAGCAAGCTATAATGAGACTGTGTTTGAGGGCTTCAGTCATAGCAGACGCTTAACATTAATCTGAAGTTAGTTAAATTAACAGCATTTAGTACTGACTTGTCAATCTCACTGCTCCAGGAAATTGCACCTTGAGGCTACTAATATTGCCAATTTTTCCACTGGAGTGTGTGTGTGCACGCGTGTGTTGTGTGCACTTTTTTTTTTCTCTCCAGAACCTCCACGTTTATACCCCATCATTGCTTCCTTACGCCCACAGCACTTATAGTATCATTTATTCTGGCCTCCTTTAGGCTTCCCGGGGGACCCTGCATAGTGTAGCTGCTCAGTGAAAGAGTTTTTTAGCTTTATATTTATTTGTTTATTTTTCTGTCATGGCTCATGACTGAGGCTTTAAAAAAAAGTGTGACAGTATTTAGAGTACATGATTGACTGCTACAGCAACATTCATTAACCATGACAAATCTGCAGCCAAACACAGTCCTGAGTGTTCTAAACAGCAACTTGAAAAAGAAAGAAAAAAGAAAAGAAAAAAAGACTAATTTTTCATTGACCTCATCTGTAAATAAATTTAGACTGATGGTGCGCAGGGGCAATAATAAATTAGTATTCATTTCCTGTAATTAATGCAAACATGCCTATGAACCCTGAGAATATGAATATATAACCACCTAATTTCCATTTCAAAATACACCTAACACATTTTTGCTTGAGTTATCTTCATAAAATTTTCCCCCTTCACTGGAAGAATAAAATGGTTAGGTTTCTTTCCCACCATCCAGGGGGAAATATTGTTTTGGTCACGGGGAACATCAAACGCACCTCACCAGATCTACAGACCTTGATTCTGATTTACTGCGTTGCTTGTGTGATGTCCTAGCACATTCTCACGCTGAAGGTGTCTGCTTTTTCATCTCCACGCAGGAGGGAATACTCGGAAGTGACTACCTAGACAGGCTCTCACGTGCATAACAGCCATGAATAGATCACAAGAAGCAAACCCAGAGTTTAGCCCAAGAACAAGAAACATTGACTGGAACAATCAGTCACACTAAGGTGGATTAGGTAAATAGTATGATACACATCAAACAGTAATCATACCTCAAGTACAATATGAATATGAGACTCTACAGCCTTCCTGGACAAGAAGGGATTGCATAACATACGCTCTTGCCATGTCTGGAGACACTCCTAGGATCCAAATCGCAATTACAGATGTCACTGGGAGTAGGCATTTGTATATTAGATGAGAAACTGCTTGACCAGAATCCTGTATCACAGTAACTGGGTCAATTCTCAGCTACTCCACTTGCACTCCAGCTTCCTGCTAGTAAGTACCATGGGAGGCAGCAGGGGGCTGTTCAAAGAATATAGCCACCTATACAGGAGACCTGGATTGGGGTGTAACATCTTGGCTTCAGCCTGGCCCTAGCCCTCGCTACCCCAGGCATTTGGAGAATGAACAAGTGGATGGAAAGTCTCTCTGTGACTCTCCTCTTTTGACCTTTGTCTTTCCCTCCTTTCCTCTCTCCCTCCCTGTGTATATGACTGTCTCTTTCTCCCTGTTCCTCCCCCCACCCCCGCCTTTCAAATACAATGAAGATAGGGTTTTTTTAAGACAAAAATTTACCAAAGATCAATATATTAGTTCACCAGTCATCCAGCCATTGAAAATGATTAGCTCAACGATGTCAGCAATAGTGGTATGCTTTGTTAGCATAATAACAAAATAACAAACTGTGTCTAAAAGACACATATGCAAAATTTGCATATTGTAAAGACTACCACAAGAATAGAAAATCTGAATCTGGTTCTACTAAGCCAACCTAAATAACAATTTAGCAGAATGCAACTTGTCTGATGGATAGCTCTTCTGCAGACCTTCCTGGCCCTACAAAGCTTTTGCCCCTACGTGTCCCTACAAAATGTGTGCAATGTGGATACCAAGTGGTCCTCTTGGATACTTGATGGTAGAATCCTAATTAGCTTTACTAAGCCATTAACTGGGTGCATATCACAAAGGGGCCAGAAGGCAAAGGGGATATCTTAATTTGATGAATTAATCACTTAATCTAATGATAAATGTCACTCAAAAACCCTATTGTAACACATTATATATAAATTCAGGAATTCTTCCTCAGGAATTTTTTTGAAACCCAGAGTAGACTTTCAGACACACACTGCCAAAGCTACCCACGACCCCCCAACAAAAAAGAAAAGCAATCATCCCATTCCCATTGCTTTCCCTCCAGTTGTCAGCCTGGAAAGCCGAGCAATGCATCTCAGTACTCTGGTCCAGGAAGCCCAGCAGAGGGTGAGTGAGCTCTCTGCCCAGCTGGAGAATGAAGGATTCACTCTGGACAATACAGAGAAGGAGAAACAGCTGAAAGCTTGGGAGTGGAAATACCGGCTCTACCGACGTATGAAAACAGGCTTCGAACATGCCCGTGAGTACAAGCAGAGGACTTGAACATTTAACTAGACTGAACTTTGGTTTGAGACAGCCAGGCCTTCTTTTCCTGATTTTTTTCCAACTCTACAGAGTCATGGATGGCCGTTGTCAGCCTGTTTGGAGCAAGGACTCCGGGAGGCTGTAAAAGGGTCTTTGTCTTGCTTGATTTTCTGGCTCCTGATAGGTTCTCTGACCACAGTCATGAGGCCTTGGTGCTTCTGGCCTCCCTCCACCATGTCGCACTCATCTAGCGCTTTCCACCCGCTACGCCCTAATGCCTAATGACCTGGATGGTCTGATGCCCTAAGTGGCTATATTTTGGGATGTGGAGGTGGAAAAATATTTGTCTGCCTATTTGTCCAGTTTCTGCTTCAAGCTCAAGTTTAAGTTGTTTTCAGCTCTCAACTGCATTTTTTATATAGAGCAATAAACTGAACTTCAATTAATACAGGCCACAGAGAAGGACAGTCCATCAACCCATGAATTATGCTTTTGTCTGCACTTCATCTCTACCAGTTCTTTGTTAGACAGCTTCTTTCTGAATCATATTCTTTAGCATTAAGAGTACCTCTATATATAACCTGATATAAAAATGTAAAATCCAAATATTTGTGAAATATCAAATGTCATTCTAGAAGGAGATTTAAACAACCAAAAATAAAACTCGAAGTTCTAAATGCAATGGTAATGTTGCTTCATTCACATTGAGACTGTTAGTCTCAAAAATCTTAATTGTGATATAGATAAAGACCAAACACAGTGAAACTTGTGTTGTAGTTCTGTGCCTTAAGTATCAAATCTGGGCCTAATTTTTACTTGAGATTCACTAATAAAAGATTCTTTCAAGATCAACAACCTCCAGCCATGCTGATACATGGAATTTTTAAGAAATTTAGCAATTGCCTTCATAAATACCTTTATGATTACACCTCACTTAGGAGAGATTAACACCAAAAACAGACCTATTTTTATACCTGATGCTATTTTTCATAATTTTCTGAATTATAAAACACCTTTTTCAGGGTATTAGGGAGTACCTAAAACCATCACTGGTCCTTTAAAACTTGAGACTAGGGAGCCTGACATCTGTCCATACATTTTTTTCTCAGAACACACTGCCTGATGTAATGGGAGCTGTTGGAGACCAAGGTAAGTTAGAAATGTACACTGGCAGAGCTCAAGTCAGACATCGCAGCCACAGGCTCTTGGCTGCGTTTCGTCACTGTGCTCTTTAACAAGGAATCTGGCCTCCTCTATGAGCTGCAGTTCCCTTATTCAAAAGTGGGAGTGTTATGACTTTCTCCCCAGTAGGGCTTCAAAAGATTCTATAGGGATGATTTATGTGCAATTACTTTTTGAAATAGAAGGGCCTGTCTGTTGCATAGGAGCCTGCTGTCACTGCCCTTCCCTTCACTCAGGTAGCACAATCGCCTACAGGATCAGCAAGGGACTCTGGGAGGGCCTCTCTGGCATTATTTGCCCCTTCACAAGATATTCTAACAGGCAGCCAAGACCACCACAGTCACCGGCAACAAGGACCAAAAGAGGGGGGTAGCGAGACTTCTAATGAAAATATCAGGGTGCTTCAAAAATTCAGGAACACTGTTGGAAAAATCTGTCTTTCCTTTCCATCCCAGGAGCCCCTGAGGTGCCCACCAATGCCTGCCTCATGGTGACGAGCAGCACAGCCCTCACTGTCACCTTCCAAGAGCCTCTTAGTGTCAATGCAGCTGTGGTGACTAAATACAAAGGTACGGTACTCCAGGGATTTTTCACTGCTGCTTCTGAGAATCTGTCATTGGAGAATCAACTATGCATTTTTTTTTCTGTACGGTAGGACTGTTTTCATCCCCCTTACTCTTGGAGTTGAAATACTTTCATACATACATGAAAGAGCAGTAAAGTGGCTGAGAGTAATTAACAGAAAGGACAAGAAACAGGAAAGTTTGGGCTGCTGTTTCATACCCCTTAATGTTCCATTCCTGCTTGCAGAGGGATCATTCCATGCAGAGCATGGTGGGCAGGCCTGGGTAGGACACAATGGGGAATCAGACTAACCAAGGAACTGAGATATGTGCATGTGGAACATGCTGAATAAGAAGCATATAAATTGACAACTATAAACCAGGCAACCAATATTCAGTAACAAAACCAACAAGATAAGGTTCCCCAGGGGTCAGAAAGAACAAGGGAATGATTAAAATGGTAGAATCAGGAAATGCCCCAGAGCGGAGGTTGGCATTTGGGATTGACTGTAGATAGATGGCTCGGATTTGAACTAGAAGGTACTGGGGGGAGGGAGATAAATTCCAAAAGGACAGGATGAAAAACATAGCCACAAAAGCAACAAAATGCTGAGCTCAGAGGAGAATTTAGATGGGGAAGGGAAAGGAGGTTGGCTCTATTGGAGGTCAGAGTGTATGTAAACTAAGTTTCAAGATTGGGATGAGGGCCAACAAGAAGAGTGGGGCCTGAAATCAAGGCTAAGGAGTTTGCACTTTCTATGATGAATTCTGCAGGGTGATAGAGGAGGAGATCAGAGGTAGACCTGGAAAGCTGAAGTGTCAGTAGTGCCTTTGATGTAATGGAAGTTACATGGATTCAGAGCAAGAACAATAATGAGGAAACCATTCAAAATAGAGGTCATGACAACATGACCTGGCTACAGTGGCAGGACATGACCCAGAGGAGAAAGTGATTTTAGAGGTGTTACTAAAAGTCAGTTCTTCTACATAGCCTCCTATATTTCAGGCATAGTTTGAAGCGTGTATATGTATGGACTCTGTTTAATACTCATAACTGCCATATGAGTTCGTCATTATCATGATTCCCACTTAGCAGATGTGGCCTCTGAAGACTCATGACGATGTCAGTCACAATATGTGGACTCTTGAATAGGGTGAAAAAGAATGAAATTAGTTCTCCAATTCACAGGAACATACAGAAATATCTTGCCAGGTCACAGGGTGGACAGAAACTATGGGGGGGGGAGGGGACTGTCGCTCCCTTGAACTGCAACAGGGCCTCAACGGCATGACTATTTTCCCCCTTCCTAGAGCTTGTCTCCAAGCAGAACTTCATACCTCTCTGAAACCATTATTCTGCTTATAAACTGGCTTTCTGGGGTACTTCGAATTTTCTAGGCAACTCCATTCTGTTTGCAGTAAGAGTGTATTGGAAGTCCAGTCTAAGAAAAGGTAGTTTTAAGATGCTAGCAACAGCAGAGGAAAGAAGTCACTCAAAATAGCCTTGGCTTTGAATCATTCATCCTTTGACTCAATCCTGATACTTTCCCTTGGCTGTCTCGTGTGGAATTCAGAGTGTTTGCAGGCAACGTTAATTATGGATGCTAGTCTTACTTCCTACCTCTCTCAGGATTTTGATGGAGGGTTTTTAGCAGTGCTGCCCAGCTTGACATTTCCTCCAGCCATGTGATCAGTGAGCCATCAGGAGCCAATTTATGCACACTGTCAGCTATTTAATACTTGGCCATAATGCCAGCAAGTTCTATCAGCATTCACCTATTAACACTTCTCATTCTCAGGAGACTTGCATCTGGGTGAGGTTAAAACAAAAGGTCACAAGTGGGTTCTGTTAGTAACTAGAGAGGATTAATTAAGCATTATAAGAATTATCTGTTGCATTATGGAGTTAGGCATCCTTGGGTTCATTTCTAACGGCATAAATTGAGTCCTTAACCTGAGTACTTTTAAGGGTTATTTAAAACAGCTGGCAGCCTCCTGCACCCACAGAGACAGCAACAGCATTTGTAATTCAGAGGGTGAAGTAATTAATTATGAAAACATTAGCAAAATTACCCTGAGACAAAGCTAATCATTATCTTTTTTTTTTTTTGAAAGAAGAAACAATGGAGGTCTCCACAAAATGAAATGGTAATTATCTAATTGGTTAGAGGGAAAGCTTACCCTGCAGCATTTAGGGTTTGGCAAAAACACCTCTTCCTACTCTCCAGAACTTCTGGGTGCAGCAAAACCTCAAGCCTATTTTGACAACTGAGTGTTTTCCCTCTTCATGTTTAAACCAGTGTGTATTTAAAAGAAAATCTGGATCCTTCTACCTTTTCTCATTTGTTTGTACTCATCAACATGTTTTGATAAGTTTATTGATATACAGGAATTTTTGTAAGAGCATCTCTTTCTAAACCTTCCTTAGACCCCGAGGGCCATGCATGAGGCCAAATGCCAAGTCAGCTTGGAGATTAAAGGAATCAACTTGAGCTTAAAACCCAGGAAACACTTTTCAGTAAGACCCGCTAGATCTTTCTGCTGGCATTTCCTCTTGGGTGCAGAAAAGCAAGGTTCGTGGAGCTCATGCAAGTTTTCAAAGGGGCTTCCTCCTCAGATTCCAAGAGCCCTTGGATCTTTGGGTCCCATCTCATCCATCTTAATGGCTTTTACACAGAAAAACTGCAATCATTTAAGATGCTCTTGGGCTCCGTCAATTCACACAAGTTGGCTCCACATATTTTCTTTACTGTCTTGAGAAACCTGTGGGAACCCCCTATTTGCAGGTTACATGCTATTTCTCTCTTGGTCCAAAGCAGAAAACATTTTTGAAAATCGCTGCTCTTTGCAGAACTGGATGCTAGGTAGGAAGGCATCGTGTAACAGATACAGTAGCATCTGTCTTCCCTTCAAGGGATCATATGTTTAACAGCTTTTTTTTCTTTTTAAAGTAGGGCTTGAAGTGGTCACACCTTCAGAGCCTGCTAAATTCTAAGATGCTGCAGTAGTCGCTGCAGGGCTGTGAGTAGCACATGGTACTCTCCCCCACCTCTCTCTCCACCTATCCCCTCGCTAATTACAAACTGCCACACAGTTTTCCTCTGTATTAAGACCTGTAATACCAAAATGCTGGGCTGCCCTTTCATTGAATTTTTTTTTAAATTAAAAAGTACTTCTTGTAGAGACTGCCAGTGTCTTGCAGGAGCTGGTCACGTATCCGCTTCTGCGGAGACCAAATCAGTGCTTTTCCAACCATCACTTCCAGTCTCTTTTCTCAGAAAAAGAAGTCAAAGAATTCCAGAGAGATTCCCAGAGGCATCTCAGCTTCACAAAGGAATTGTTCCTCATCTGAACACTTAAACCACCAGGGCCAATCATTTATAATGAATTTGATATGTCAACTTGATAATAACTTGATTAGTGGAGTAATCTTTTCAGAAGACAAGAAAAGGGGGTGATGCCAAAGATTTGCAAATGAGAATAACTGAAGTTATTCTTCATTTCCCCTTCAACAAAAAAAGGGGAAATACCCAAAGGACATGACATCAAAGAAAGTAGCTCTTTTTGTGTGTGGGTGAAAACATGGACGTCAGCTGAGTGACTAAGCAACTGGACATACGATGAGAGAAAATCACAGGTGCAGCAAGCGCAAGAATGATTAAAAGCAGAAGGGGAAACTATCCCAGGAATCATTCCAAGCTAGTGAAGCTTTTGCATATTTGATTATTCTACATTCTCTACAAATTGCCAAATAGTCAGGATACAGCAGGTTTATTCTCTAACCATTTTGTGAACTACCTTAAAAATCTTTGCAGCAAGATACAATGTAAAGAATAACCTTTGTGGAACTGGCAAGGAGGAATAGCAAAGTAAGCCCCTGAGATCCCTGGGAGGATAGCCAAATCCCACATAGAGAGCCTGTTTAAAGTTCTGCCTGTTCCACTCCGGATCCAGCTTCCTGCTCCTATGCCTGGATGACAGCTGAAGCACATGGGTCTCGGCCAGCACGTGAGAGACCAGGATGAGTCTGTGGCTCCAGCTTGGTCCTGTCCTGAGCACTGGCGCATTTTGGGGAGTGAACCAGTGGGTGTAACTTGTCTTCCTTTCTGCCTTTCACCTTGCCTTTCAAATAAATCTCCTTTTAAAAACAGCATTAGCGACTTGTCAGTACTTTTGAAAACTTTCAGCCCACAAACAATCGTATTAAAAAGACCTCCTCCATTCCCCCTATCTCACACTCCTCAAAGCCACGCACTTTTTCATCAAGTACAGTTCCATGAACTTTGAGGCTCTTGTACACATGGATTCAGAATTTTTTGTACCAAAACAATTTTTTAATGTTCTTGAACATCTTGAATATCCTCACATATGCCTACAGCCGTGTACCACATAGTAATGTTTCTGTAACGGGCTACACATAAAGTGGTCCCATAAGGTCATACTGTCTAGTGATGCGGTAGCCATCTCAGTTTGCTTAAGTTTACTCTATGACATTTAAACAGTGACAAAATTATTCAACAATGAATTTCTTAGGTAGAGATGGTAAACCAATTATAGGTTTACTCCCCAGTGGCTGTAACAGCCAAGGTTAGGCCAAAATCAGGAGCCACCTGCTCCCCTGCATTGGTACCAGGCTCTGTAATCTTGGAGATATCATGTGCTGCTCCCAGGCACATTGACAAAGAGTTGGATTGGAAGTAGAATAGCTGTGACTCAAACTGGCACGCCTATGGGAATTGAGGCATTCCAAGGGCTGCCCTAACTCCTTTGCACAGCATACTTCATGGCCAACAGTGTATTTCTAAAAATATATCCCAGTTGTTCCATGATGCATGACTATACACAGCGATATTTCATATATCCTAATATAAATATTGTAACACTCTATGCCTAATTTGACAACTTTAATTTTTCAACTCAATGATACTATTTCTGCAGCCCTTAATATATGTATCTCTTTCCATGTCAGGGTATGGGGATCTTTTCCTTTTGTTAATAGTTGTACA